TTGGTCAAAAATGTCGCATTTCACCCAATCACCAAAAACTCATCGGATATCGACGAAGCTCGACGCCGCGGTCACGCCCAAAGTTGTTTCACTTTCCAAATCGTTTTTTTTCGAAAGATATCGCGAAAAACAAGATTTTGAATATTTGCCCGAACGGACCATATATATATATATATATATATATATATATATTTTTTCTTTTCTTGCTGCACGTTGGGACAGGTGTTGAACTTCGACACGTCCTCGTCACAGCCGCCAGAGCAGATGGTGTGGTGTGGGGAGGACAGCGTTCTCCTTCACTTTCGAGGGCTGGGGGTGCTCATGGTCGGCCCGTACGGGGACTGGACAAGGTAGGGGAGGAGGAGGGGGGGTACGCGATGCCATGCGGGGGGGCGGGGGGGGGAGAGACATTGACGGCCATTTTTGTTGGAACGCCCACGCTTTGATATTGATGCGAACAGGTGGATCCACGGCTGAGCTGAAATTGCTCACTCTGGGGCGGTTGCCCGGCCGTTTGGTCATGCCGTGGAGGTTAACTGTGATAGCACGGATAATGCTAGTAGATTGATTGCGCGTACGTATGTCGCATCTGACGTGTTCCGCCAAACGTCCCCCTACTCTTCATCAACGCCCGGCCCGATCATCGCCCCCGCGCACGCCGCTCTGCAAGCATAACGAACACACACAAGATGTACCACCAACTTACACTCGGCTGTCTTGTCTTGTCTGACCGAGGCCGCCCCATGCTTTCTGGACCGCCTTTCCGAGATTAACAAGCTAAGAGAAATTAAGAGAAAAATATATCAAGGAAGGGGTACGCAGACACTATCCCTAACCCATCTTCCCCGATATAGTTTTTTTTATCCAACATGTTACTTAATAGAAAGACCTTGCGGAGGCTACTGTCTTCTTCCCCACATCCCGAACATCTTTTTTTTTTTGTGTGTGTGTGTGTTTCGTGGAACGTAGGTTTTCCTATCCGCCAGAGGCGACCGTCCTTCTCGCGCCAGACTCCGACTGCTGCAAGATATTCACCGACGTGGAGTGCGAACTGCTGCAAAGGGTCCCCGTGGCGTTGGAGGCCATATCAAGGATCGGCTCCACCGATCCCGCGGCAATGTTGTTCGATGCCGCCGCGGCCTTCGAAGAGGGCGATCCCAGGGCAGATGAGGTGAAGGGGGGTCCGTAGCATGCAGGCCGTTTATTGGCGGCGTTTCGCTACCGGGCGTTTTGTTTGTCGTGAGGTCGGAAATCGCGGGTCCTGTTCCGCATCAGGACACACACACACCTATAACGTTTTGGCCATAGCCATAGCCATTGCCATTGCCATTGCCAACACCTACCACGGATCGCCAGTCAGGACATCCTTGCGATGTCTTGTCTTGGCTAAACATCAGTTTGCTCTCAAGGCAATGATTCTCCCAACGATGTGTCAACGTCCTCTAAAAGGCAACAATACACACACACGCATACACCGTGTTTGACGTTAGCCATTGCCACCACCCACCGCCGATCGTCCCTCAAAACATCCGCGCGATATGCGTGGTCAAACATCAATTTACTCTCTGAGGCAAGGAATAACCCACACAAGACGCGCATTCATCGTTTGGACCGCAACCAAACCATCTTGCCAACACCCCATCACCAACCGTCCGTCAGAACATCCGTGCGATGGAGCGAGACGGAGACGCAGACGGCGAGGGTCATCCGCTGCTGGAAGCGGTGCAGTCTTGCATCGCAGCGGCTGCGGGGGAATTCGACATCCCTTCGCAAAAGGTAACTACGGCACTGCTGCTATGTGATCCCACGGCGCGTCTGTGTGTTTGGCATGACTGGGGGGGTGTCGTGATGGGCGTAAGCCATGCAAGACGGTTTTGTCGGAACACTGTTCTGTTTTTTCGTGTGTCTGGTGCTTGGGGGCTTGGGGGGCGGGGCAAGTAATATGTCGTCGTCATCGTTTCGGCTAGCAAGCATGTTTTTCTCTCTCTGTCACTTGGTCGCCCAACACGCTCTTTTGTGCCGTGCACTCTTTCGTATAGAAGCTGTCGAGGTCGTGTGAGATTTTAGCTGTCGAGGTCGGCACAGCGTAGGCTGTTTTATATGGAGTTGGTGCCGGAGGTCGTTGTGCCGCAAAGTTTCTGGTTGCAGTGGGGCTACCTAGATACCCCGATAGGTGGTGATTTGTGGCCACGGAAATGATGATGCGGCCATTAACTGTTCCGGTTGCTTAGCCTTAGATGTTGGTGTCCCATATTCTATCTAGGCCGATGCCAGACTCTAGCGGTCAGGAAGTCACGCCGAGTGTGATCTGTGATTGACCAAAGAGAAGCAGCTAATTTTCCTGATGACGACGGTGGTTGGCCGGCCGGCACGCAGGCGCTGATGCGAGCCGCGGGGTACGGCAAGAGCTTCCTGTCGGACTACGACAGCGACGAATTCGTCGAGTGCTGCCGGAAGCTGAGGGTGCTCAACAACTGCAGGCACAAGTCTTGCGGCATGCCGCTCACTTCCCAGCAGTACGACAGGCTCACGCCGGAGGTACGCTAGTACGCTAGTAGGGGAGGAGGAGGGTTACTGGTCACGTTGTCGCCGCTTTCGTTACGACCTCGCAGGCAGCAACATCGGTTGTGGTAGGGTGAATATGACGCTGCCGGTATGTAGGAGGTTGGGGTATGTTACACCGCGCTTGTTGTTGTTGTTGTTGTTGTTGGTGTCGTCGCTGCTGTTGCTCTCGTTGTTGCTGTTCCTGTTGCTGCTGTCGCTGGCGTTGTCGCTGGCGTTGCTCCTGCTGCTGCTGTTGCTGCTCTTGGTTGTTTTTGTTGCTTCCGCTGCTGCTGCTGCTGCAGCGGTTGCCATCGTTGTAGCCGCTTACATTGCCGCGCTGCCCTAACCCACCCACCCCAACAAGCAGGTCCTGGTGGACCGATTAGCGATGAGACACCTACACCTGCTGGCAGTCCGGGTGTGCGACCACCTCCGCCTTCGGCGAGATCGCGTGGCCGTACACTGGGCCTGCAAGAAGATAACCAAGGCTTGCAACGAGGCCTCTGCCGGAGAGCCGGGCGCTCCCACCGACGAAGACTTGACTAGGGTAAGCACGCGACGGTGTTAAGGGAAAACTGCCATAAATTTCTTCAAATGACGGTGGCTGGGACAGTTTGTTGTGTTTTTTTATGGCTCATCGGTATTGTCGGGGGGGGGGGGGGGGGGG